GAATCACCATCAAATAATATTAACCCATTGCCGCCGGGGAAAATTAACAAAAAATGGGGGAAATGCTGTGCCTATTTTCTATACTTTTTTGCTAAATGTCTGCCCATAGATGGCTCTGTTAGCGCCTGATTTGAAATGGCGGGAAAAACGTATTTTTCACTAGTGCTATGGAAATCGATGGTGTTATTTTTATCATAAACATTATAATTTTTATAATGTTTTTTAACATTAGTAACAGCAAAATAAGATAACGTAAAATATTCCGTAAATCAAAGAAAAGGGTGAACGGGCGAGACAGGCGGTATTCATAACTGGCTCATTGGTGATTTAGTACAAGTGTAGACATCTATGTGTGAAAACAATCTAACAAGTAATCTCACAGTGGCCATGGCATGGCATGCCCGGCGGGAATGGGTTAAAAGCATTACATATTACAGGTACTGTACAAGGTATGTCGTACTTATTGGGATGTATGTACAGGTATTCTTAACTCATTCCCGACGGAAATGCCATGCCATGCCCACTGTGAGATTACTTGTTGGATTGTTTTTACACAAAGATGGCTACACTTGTACTAAATCACCAATGAGCCAGTTACAAGTACCGCCTGTCTCGCCCGTTCACCCTTTTCTTTGATTTACAAAATATTTTACGTTATCTTATTTTGCTGTTACTAATGTTAAAAAACATTATAAAAAATATACTGATTATGATAAAAATAATACCATCGATATTCTTGGCATTAGTGAAAAATATACAAACAAATCAACTTACAAACAGCCTCTCGGTCCCCATTATGTTCTTAAGTTGGGGACTTACTGTATATATATATGTATATATATATATATATATATATATATATATATATATATATATATATATATATATATATATATATATGTATATATATATATATATATATATATATATACATATATATATATATATATATATATATATATATGTATATATATATATATATGTATATATATGTATATATATATATATATATATATATATATATATATATATATATATATATATATATATAATTATATATAAATATATATATAATTATATATAAGTATATATATAATCATATATAAATATATATATAATCATATATAAATATATATATAATCATATATAAATATATATATAATTATATATAAATATGTATATAATCATATATAAATATGTACATAATCATATATAAATATCTATATAATCATATATAAATATGTATATAAACATATATAAATATGTATATAATCATATATAAATATATATATAATCATATATAAATATATATATAACATACATAAATAAATACATAATTATATATAATATACAAAATTATATATAAATATATATATAATTATATATAAATATATATATAATCATACATGAATATACATACAATTATATATGATTATATATATAATTATATATGAATATATATATAATTATATATAAATATATATAATTATATATAAATCTATATATAATTATATATAAATCTATATATAATTATATAAATATATATATAACTATATAAATATATATACAAATATATAAATATATATAAATATATATATAATTATATATAAATACATATATGTATATAATTATATATAAATATATATAACTATATAATATATATATATATATATATATATAATTATATATAAACATATATATATATATATATATATATATATATATATATATATATATATATTCATATAAATGTATATATATAATTATATATAAATATATAATTGTATGTAAATATATTATAAATATTATAATTATATAAAAAAATATATATATAATTATATATAAATATATATAATTATAAATAAACATATATACAATTATATATAATTATATATACAATTATATATAAATATATATATATAAATATATATAAATATATATATATAAATATATATATAATTATATATAAATAATTATATATAAATATATATATAATTATATATAAATATATATATAATTATATTTAAATATATATATATAATTTTATATATATATAGGATTATATAGAAATATATATATGATTATATAGAAATATATATATGATTATATATAAATATATATGTAATTATATAGAAATATATATATAATTATATATGTAATTATATATAAATATATATATAATTATATATAAACATATATATAATTATATAAATGTATATATAATTATATATATATATATATATATAATCATATATAATTATATATAATTATATATAAACATATATATAATTATATAATATATATATATGTATATATATAATCATATATGTATATATATAATTATTTATATATAATTATTCACATAACAAATTATATAATTATATACATATAATTATTCATATACAATTATATATATATAATTATATATAATAAATATATACAATTATATATAAATATATATACAATTATATATAAATATATATATAATTATATATAAACATATATATAATTATATATAAACATATATACAATTATATATAAACATATATATAATTATATATAAACATATATACAATTATATATAAACATATATAATCATATATAAACACATATATATAATTATATATAAACAGATATAATTATATATAAACATATATATAATTATATATAAACATACATATCATCACATATATAAACATATGTACATATATATATATAAATGTATATATATAATTATATATAAACATATATATAGATATTTATAAACATATATATATATAGATATTTATAAACATATATATATATAGATATTTATAAACATATATATAAAGTATATATAATCATATAAATATATATAGCATTGTATATAAATATATATATAATTATATATAAATATATATATAACTATATATAAATATATATATGAATATATATATTTATACAGACATATATATAATTATATATATATACATATATATACATATATATATACATATATATATATACATATATATATATATATATATATATATATATATATATATATATATATATATATATATATATATATATATATATATATATATATATATATATATATATATATATATATATATATATATATATATATATATGTATATATATATATATGTATATATATATGTATATATATATGTATATATATATATGTATATATATATATGTATATATATATATGTATATATATTCTGTATAAATATAAATATACATATTCTGTATATATATATACATATATATATATATATATATATATATATATATATATATATATGTATATATATCATATGTATATATATCATAGGTATATATATCATAGGTATATATATCATAGGTATATATATCATAGGTATATATATCATAGGTATATATATCATAGGTATATATATCATAGGTATATATATCATAGGTATATATATCATAGGTATATATATAATATGTATATAATCATGCATATATATAATTATATATATAATTATATATATAATTATAGATATATAATTACATATAAATGTATATATACAGTTATATAAATATTCATAATTATATATAAATATATATACAATTGTATATATATAATTATATATTTATAATTAGATACGTACTTATAAAAAATTATATATATAATTATATATGATTATATATATATATATCATATATACATATATACAGATTTATATATGATTATATATGTATATAAATATATATATAGATACATGTATACAGATTTATATATGATATATATATATATAAATATGTATATATGTATACAATATATATAATCATATATAAATCTGTATATATGTATATATAATATATATAATTATATATATAATCATATATATAAAATTATGTATACACATATAATTTAGTATATATATAATTATATATTTACATTTATATATAATTAAATAATTATATATATAATTATACATATAATTATATATGATTATATATATAATCATATATACTTATATATATAATTATATATATTTATATATATACAAAACTATATATCTATAAATACATAATTATATATATTTATATATATATATATAATCATAGATATTTATATATATGTAAATAATTATACATATATATATATATATATATATATATATACATATATATATATATATATATATATATATATATATATATATATATATATATATATATTTACTTATATATATTGATATATATACATACAGTAAAACCTGAGAAAACCGAACACCCAGGGGACTGTAAAAAATGTCTGGTTTGGACAGTGATCTGGTTTGGAGAGGGTGGGCTTTTAACACAGGCCGCCTATTGAAATGGGAAAGGACTGAGAATATCGTCTGGAATGGACAGTGATCCGGTTTTCTCAGGGTCCGGTTTTCTCAGGTTTTACTGTATATACAGTTTGGAACCAATAACTAATATGTCTCATTTACTCCTCATCCTTTGGTTATTGATACATGACACTGCATCTACAAGATGTTGTGTGGCAATGACTTAAACAGGCATCTGAATAAGTTGGTACTAAAAGTTTATTTTTTCTTTGAATTTCTGAGTTTTGTCCCCCATTTTCACTAGTTATTCAGCATTTTGACACTAGAGCAAGCAAGAAATGTTGAAATGAGCTAAAGTGAGCAATAGTCTGAGGAAACATTATTCTGCTATGACAGTGCTGCAGAAAAAAGCATAAAGTTTGTTTTTTTATATATTAGATTCACAAATCCAATCATTAAAAAGAATCTTCATATCAAGTTGACAACAAGTTGGCTATTTAAGATTATTCAAGCAAAGAGCAGAAAGTTTGTGTGCCAGGAAAATTGAAAGAATAGTAGAATAATACCACATTCAATATAAAAGTGTCATTTGTTCATTCATGGCATGCAATGTAAATCATTTAGAATTACTAAACTGTATTTAACACATAATGCTCAAAAAGTAAATACAACAACAAACTACCCACTAACCTGATTATAGTTTACAGTGAGTTGGGGACTCAAGACAACAGTTGGCTGTATCACTGTACTGTGTGGCACCTCCACTTGCTGAGTGTGATGCTGATGGATACTCTGCTGCTGATGTTGCTGAAACTGTCCATTCCAAGGCCTGATACTGGCAGAGTGTATTGAGCTTGTCTGAGATGACTGGATTTGAGATCTGTAACTTGATGGCTGTTGCCAGCTGTAGTTCATTTGAAAGCCAGGATGTATAGTATTCAAGTTTGAAATGGCTGGTGTTGGTTTTGTGCCCTCCTCTAAGTGTGACCAACGTTCCACTGCTTGGAATTGGGCACTTACGCTTTCAGCAAATTTACTGGTATCAGTATGCATTGATCCTGCAGAAACAATGCTGTTCTGCTGAACTGTACTGCCAGAAGTTCTTGGAAATGTAGCAAAGTTTCCTATACTTCCACTAGCCATTCCTCTCATCATGTTTTGCCCTGTAGTTTGTGGCTGCTGAAGAAAAGGCCGAACATGTGCAGTCTTTGGAAAGTACTGCCCAGTGTCTATGGTTTGCTCAGATAATAAGCCTAAAGTTTTTGATGAGCTGAGGACATCTAAATCAGAAAAGGCACTGTTTTTATTTGTGGATTCTGTATTAACTTGTGAGTGGGAGCTAGGTCGTCCTCCAGGTAAGTCCACTACCTGGCTTTCACTTGTAAGTCTGGACACAGCAAGTTGTTGCTGACTTCTGGAACTTGAAGTTTGCTGAGGAGGAGGAAGAGCTGGTACTTCTGATGCCATTCTCTGACTCTGATTTAGGACTGCAGGTGGACTAGATACAAAAGAGCCTCTCACTGCATTATTCATTTTCTTATCACTTGTATTAAATGTGTTTGCAGAGGCCTGGTCTTTTCCAAGAGACTTCTCTAACTCTGCTATAAAGGAACGATCAAGTTTTGGGAGTGCCACAGTTGTTGGTGTGAGAGGTGCTGGTAAGGCAAGCTGTCCAGGCTGATTAGACACTGGGGAAAGATTTGATATAACAGGTTGAGGTTTTGCAACAGTTGGTTGAAGAATGGCAACTTGTCGGTTTTGTCCTCTGTCCCTTGCTTCATTATTCATCCATGATGATGAAGTGGGGGAAATTATAGTATGTCCTTGTCTATTTTGGATAGCTGAACTTACTGGTGATGAAGTGACAGGCACAACTGATTGTGGCTGGGAAATGGTTGAAATCCACAAATTACTAATTTGTGCATTTAAATCTCTAACATTATTTACTTGGTGACCATCTCTGGTTTGGGAAGGTCCTGGCATGTTTGAAGTATTATTGTGAATCATTGGAAACATGTTAGTTGAGACAACCATATCATTTCCCTCTGTGTTGCGGTAAGTGGCTGCAGGCATATCAGCCCTCACGGGCATCGAAGAAGAATCACATGTGTTTGGGGATGCTATTTGTGAGATTTTTAAAGGTAAGCTAGTAACAGAGCTACTAGAAAATGAACAATCATTTGAATTTAAAGAGCTTCCAATAGTGTTTTTGGTTTGGTCATGGGAATTATAAGTGTTTGCAGGTGAATTTGCAGAGGGCTTGGCATTCTGCATAATCATAGCATTGTTAACATTATAATCCTCACTGCCATTGGTATTTGCTGGGAGAGTCTGAGCATCAGGAATTTCTAAAGGTGGTTCATCATAGCATCGTATGTGGGATGTGTCAAAAGGATCTGACCCTTCAGTCATATTGGGATAATACTCATTAGTGGCATTGCTCTCACAAAACCTTTGAGTGTTGCTGACCTGACTGGCAGTTGCAATGGGAAGTCCAGCATGGCTGTGGTTAGAAACCTGACTGCTGTATTTGTCATGTAGGATGTTTTCTGCAGAATATCTATCATCAGCAACACTTTGAATATCATCGTCCCACTCATCAGAATCATCATCAAAGTCATCATATGGCTCATCTTGGGTATCAAAAGAATTAGAATATATAGCAGGAACAGGTGGTGCCCCAGTCTGAGATTGCTGCTGTAGTGGTAGTTGTAGTTGTTGATTTTGTTGGGATTCCTGGCCCTGATTTTCGTAAGTCTGCACACGGTTCTGAAGAAGCTGATCTTGCTGGCTTTCAAGCTGTTGTTTCTGTTGTTGTCTTTTTTGTAGTTGATGGACGGGAGGACTTGGGGAGGGACGGATGGGAACTCTGAGGGGTTGCTGAGCATTTCCAGTTGAGGCAGCAGCTGCACGAGTGATATTTTCATATGTCCGGTCACTGCCTAGCTCAACTGGAGCACCTAGAAAGGGGTTCAAAAATTTCAACATCCAGGACATGCTATTCATGACTTCAAATTAATTCTTGAATACAATTTTCTAGAAACAAGACAATATGTATAAGTCTTAAGTAGTACACTACAATACTATAATTAAGTCTATAGCAAGTTTTAGTTACACAGTGTTGCGGTTTGACATTAATCAATTGTAACTAGGTGTCACAATGTATTTGGCATCTGTTTCTGGCCTGTGTTCAGGCATCAAAATCATATTGACAGTTTGTGTGGCTTCAAATACCTTCTTCAAGGTGCATTAAACAATACTATAAAGTCACAAATTTGTGGATTTTCATGCACAGATAGAGCCTATGAATAATGACCAAAAAACTCACTTTTGTAAACAAGGCTCTCATGTGGTTACATGTGAAGCGATGACAAAAATCATCAAATCTATACTTTGGCCAACTCAGTGGCTTAGAGCTCACTGGGTGCAGTGGTGTTTCTCTCTTAACAAATGTCAAAAACTTAAAGTCACTATTATATGAACTACAACTATAACTAAAATTTTCATATAAATTGCCCTGTAAAAGACTTATCACCCTTATGAAAAAATAATAATATTGATAACTGATAATATTTCATAACATAAGTTCAAAAGATATAAATATTCTCACTAGCTACAATACTATTAAAAAATCCACCTACCTTAGATTCAAGGGCAAAAAAGGAAAAGAAAATGTAATTAAATCATCTTGTGTACCATGATTCCATAAGCACACTGTGGCTTACATACTAGTTTTGGTTCATCAAAACATAATACACAAACACATATACATGCATGCACGCAAGCACTCATACACTCATGAGCGCACATTCATGCTCGCACATTCACACACACATGCAAATATGCATCTATCATAAACCCATATAATATTAACAAATATGCTATTCTACTAATATATACAATTCTAGAGCTAATATACAAGCAATAAAGACAAACAAAGAAAAGAGTAGCAATTTCAGACACTGCCTGGCCTATGAGATATCCCATTATGCTTGCACATTTGCACTTTAAGCTTTTCTACTACTGCATTTTATGATACATATAACCCAATCCGAGGAAAAGTCATAATGTAATATTTTATTAGTTTTAGAAAAGAAAGGTGTATAGCTTAAATTGATTTCTTATTTTTTTTCTTTCACATTCACTCTGAAGCATTTCCAAATCAAATTTTATAAATAAAAAAGAAATGGTAAAACAAAAGATTAAAAGATTTTTTTAATGTTAATGGAGAGCTAACAACAGACAACAAAAATGCATAATGCTAAGAGAAGTGAACTTAGTTTTAAAATATTGGTAATAAAAAAAACAGCAGGGTTAATATAAATGCACTTACAATACCAAAGTAAAACTTTCAGATATAAAAACAATAGTGGCAAACTATTATAAAAATACTAAAGATGAAAACCTCAGCAATAACTACAGTAATAAATAACAATGGTGATCATCATTTTCATTGACATCATTTGTGTAATTAACCCATTGCCGCCGGGGATGGCATGTACATACATGCCATGCCCACTGTGAGTCGACTTGCTTGATTGTTTTTACACATAGATGGCTACACTTGTACTAAGTATCCAATGAGCCAATTACGAGTACTGCCTGTCTCGCCCGTTCACCCTTTTCATCGATTTGCGAAAATATTTAACGTTACCCTAATTTGCTGTTAAAAATAGCACCATCTATATTTATAGCACTAGTAAAAATACGTTGAAAGGTGAAATCAGGACTAGCAGAGCCATCTATGGACAGAGATATTTCACAAAAATATAAAAAATGAGTACTGCATTTCCCCCATTTTTTGTTCATTTTTCCCGGCGGCAATGGGTTAATAATACTGATACTAATGTGAAATGAAAATGTCAGTGAATAGATCAGCAGACATAAGAAATAATCCTAATGATGGCATTACATGATGTCTATAATGAAGAGAAAAGTAGTAATAATCAAAACAAAATTAACAATAATAACAATCCCTAATCTCACCTGTGATGACATTTCCATACACAGGAGTAGGCGGAATAGGCAAGTCAATAAGGGAGGAAGCACTGCCTCTATGCTGGCCAGAATCTGATGAACTGCTGACTCTAAGATCCGTAACAGAATGAGATCTTTGGCGTCCACTTTCCGAAAGATCTATCAAGAGGTCATCTCTGTTGAGGGAATAAACATGTATCTTTTTTTTCCTCTCTTCTCCTTTGTTTTCTAACCTCAATATTGGAAGTAGTGAGGTTAAAACTATGAACTCACTGACCATCCCCTATATAGCAAAAGATCATCAATGACACATTTCAGTTTTGCTAACCTTCCTTGAGATGATCTTTTATCAAATTTCAGAGTCTGTGCCTTTGAAACATCATCAGGCCACATTTCATTAACCAGACGATTGTAGTTAAACTGTCGACGTTGCCCTTGCTTAAGACGAAAAGATTGGTGTTCTGAAAAATATCCAAAAGCTAAGTAATAACACTGCCAGTTGGACAGCTACTTATCTGAAGCTCATCTCAGGGCTTTGCTTTCTTCAGAATGTCAAGAACTTTCAGAAACTTTGACTATCAAAAGACTTGTTGGACACTTTGGTTCAGAAGTGTCAATTATATGATGAGCGATAATCATCACATGAAATTGAAAGTCACAAGAGAACCACAAAAGCAGGCATCCAATATTATCAAGTCACTTAACCATAAAAAATGTTTTCATTTCCTCTGTTCACACAGAAGAGTAACCACTTTCAAGCTTCCACCTGACACAGGTCACAACAAACTAACAAAACACATTCACCTGTCACCTTTCACTGGGAGGAGAAACCAGTATTACCAGCAATATGACAAATAATGCCAATGTGATGCTAGAATCCAGGTTTCACCACTGACTGAAGTTCATAATTAATGTTTATAAAATTGCAATACAAGTAATAGTTTTGCAAAATTTAATGAAGCTACAAGTGTTTCTCTGGTTATTAAAGATATTACCAACATTTTAATTCAAAGTCTGGGCTCTATCTTCGCATTCACATCTTTTGCCATAATAGTAGCAACTTTGGGAGCAACACATTTTGTATTTCTTGACTTGTTCCGCTTCGCCTAAAAAACAATCCTAAATTGGCAACTCACTGTGTCCATATAAAAGTCATCTTCTGAATGTTTAAGAGGAGAAATATGTCATATGAAATCAGAATTATCAGACAGCATAACAAGGAAGCAAACTCAATATCAATTAAAAGCTCATTTCACAATAGTCTCCAACATTTGAAATGAAAAATAAACAATTTGAAGAGCAAATTCAGCCCTACAGGTCCTTAACCCTTTATGGACGAGTCATGTGTTGAGGCGTCATAATAAGCCATGTGGTCTGCGGGGTGTGGCTATATGCTTGGTGATACTCTATAGCGCATGGAACGGGAAGTTCTGCTACATGTAGTGGACTCTCACACTAAGCAGCTGGACATTGCCAAAGTTTATGACACTGAGAGATTTCTGATATCCGTCACCATTGGGTTAACTATATCAAATCCAAAAGTTGAACAAAAGTCCTACATTTGCTTTCCTTCACTGCCACTATCAAATTGGCCATTCCCTGTGTGCTTTCCAAAGAAAGCCCTTTGTTTCCATTTTCCATATTTGAACCTGTTGCCTGGTCAAAATGGTAATTTAAGAAGATTAACAGAAATATTTACGATCCAGTCTGGGTTAAAACATTAAATGAAAACCTTTTTAATAAAAGCAATGTACAGAAAAAATAAAACTGAAACAAAATATATAATATGCATAATTCAGAATGTATAAATAAAAATCTTTTCTAAATCTTGTAATACTTGTTTAGACAGAAGTGATATTTTTTTCATTAAAACTATAATCTCAGTGAATCTTCACTAAGATTTCCTGTACTATTACTAATTTTAACATTAACAAGCTGTTATAATCTAAAAAAAGTGAAGCATTACGTGACTCTCCTCTTCTACAAGTATTTATCAATAAATTCTTTATAGCACTGATTGCCGAACTAATTACATCAAAATCAGTAACAGGAACAATAGCAAAAAGCAGACTTATCCAAGCAGTGTCATGTTTGGTAGGAAGTGGAAGCAGCAGTTATGCATACATAGAAGTTATATAACCTCTACCAATGTAGTGAAAAAGTTGGGTGAACTTTAGAATAACATATATAATCACTGGTGAGTTTTTAATAAATCTCTCAAAGAGTACTACACTATCTACAGGTTTGAGGAGTTTACTAACATTCCACTTTACTAAAGGTCATAAGAGCTACATGTAAATAATACTCAGATCTAAATAACAGATATCTCTACAAGCTACACATGATAGATGAATATCCCCCATACTCTAAATCAGATCTACTGATATAAAGAATTACTATAAGTACTCTCAACTCTCACCTTGTTTCCTGTACACCAAAGGTACTTAACCCAGTGCCGCCGGGCATAGCACGTACATACAAAAAACACATGTTCACAAACAAGCTGCATGTGTATGTAGTGGATCTTATGTTTTTGCATTGAATAACTTCTGTACTGTACTCTCAACTTCACCTTGTTTCCTGTACACCAAAGGTACTTAACCCAGTGCCGCCGGGCATAGCACGTACATACTTGCCATGCCCACTGTGAGTTTACTTTACTAATTGTTTTTAAACAAAGATGGCTGCACTTGTATCAAGTCACCAATGAGCCAATTACAAGTACTGCCTGTCCACACGTTGACACTTTTCCTTGATTTACGAAAATATTTTAAGTTATCTTATTTTGCTGTTTCTAATGTTTATATCATTATAGTAATTTTAATGTCTATAATAAAAATAACATCATCAATATTCATGGCATTAGAAAAAAAAACTAGGAGAGCTTAAGCATTTCACAAAAAATTTAAAATGAGCATAGTATTTTCCCGACGGCACTGGGTTCATTCTTTACTTACTGACTCTGCGTGGAGACATGGGTTTTCCATGTTTATCTGGAGGTTCCATGGGATTTCTAAGATACATGTCATCAATGAATGCAGGACTCCCCCACGTCTTGCCCGAAACTCCACCATGACCTGCAAAACCATGTCTTAATACAACAATAATATTACACTATCATGAATAAAACTGATATCCTTTTCACTGGTCTTTGAATAGATTTGTATTTGATCTGTTTTCTTTTAAAAAAAAAATATTGTTTGCTGCATGTGTAGGAAGTTACAAAGAGATCTATGGATAAAAAATTATCTCTAATTGGTTCTTTTTCCTTTCCTACTTTTTATTCTTTTTTTTTTGTATGAAGGAGTTTCAAACATGATAAGGACTAAAAGTAATCATTCCAATTCTATGTTTCCCTTCTGAACTTAAAGGCAGTCACAAAGAGTTCTATAACTAAATTTTTTTTTTTTTCTTCTTGATATGCTTTAACTGCACCTGTGTGTATGAAGGAGTTACGAAGAGGTTTGCTTATGTCTTGATTGGCAAGTCTTCTCTGAGGGTCCCCAATGCAGCGTGGAAAGTCTCCAATTTGGAAGGTTCTCTGATTCTGTCCCTTCCACCAGTAATTTTCTGGGCTAAATACCAAACATATAATTTTTAAAAATAATTTGCAAAAACTCGATATAAACTTAAAATTTCCATGAGGAAAACATATATAAATAAATATGAGAAACAATCTTTATATCAATCTCTATATGAACAATGTCCACCCACATGCCATCTATCACTGCAATGAGGTCTCCAACTTCCACCTTCAGTCTTCCTTCTTCATCCCATGGCTGCTGAGCTTTCATAACATTTGGCATAATTCCTGCTACACGCTCATAGATTTGGGAGAATGTTGGACGTTCACCAGGATCATGAGACCAGCACTGAGAAGAAAACATGAATCAGAAGCTATCTATAAATACCCACTAGCTTTAAGTCTCTTTGTAAAATTGTTATTCTTATATAAACAGCAAACAAGATAGACATTTCCTACTTATCTTGTGCACAATAGGTAAAGATTATTTGGCCATATTTCCTACTTTTATCTACTAATTCTATCTAACTGTCACTATTGCCTATCAAACTGTCAAACAAATCATTTTTTCTGATGCTATTTTCTTTTAATGATCTCAATCTCTCAAACCAAAACTGTATGTTAAATCATTACCTGCAACATAAGGTCATATAAATCACAGGGACATGCAGGAGGACATACGAGGCGCTCTCCCTCCTGGTCAATCTTTTTCAGGATTTGCTGTCCATTCAAGCCCACCCATGGGTCCTCCCCAAAGGTGAAAGTTTCCCAGAGTGTCACAGCATACATCCAGACATCTGTAACATAAAACTTACTAAGTTTAAGCTTGTTTCTAGCATGTGTGACCAAACTCATTAAATCTTGCATTTACCTAAAATATACATTCTCCCTAATCTAATTACATTAATCAACGAAGTCCTAACTCTTTCACTATGATTATCCCCAAGTTGTCAAAAACAGATGGGCTATTCTCTTGTACCTTTTTTACCGTGACTGAGAGAAATGTAGTGTCTGCTAATAAATATGGTAAGATCTAGCAATTTTTCTCCAGTCACACCCACCATACCATCTACATACCATTATTCTTTGTACAAACCCTGTCTCCTTGAACTAATCAAAGGTAGTTTCACATCTGTTTTCTTTTGTGAATAAAATGGAATGAGTTCCATCATGTGAAATTTCCCATTATGTCCTCTCCTGTATGCCCCTCTGCAAACCATATAATTACATATTATACAATAAAACTAAATTATACGAAGAACATAAGTACATAATCTATTTCACATGAGGGGTAAATGCCATACATTTTTTAAGTTTTACAATATATATACATGATATGATATATGATAGTGAAATAAACATTCAGAAGCGTATTATCAAATGATGACTAAAATATGCTAAACTGGTGAAACCAATATATTAGGCAACATTTGTGGCTGGGAGTAGAATTTGCAGTTCTAAGGTGTAAATTTGAAGGAAAACAACCACTAACCTTACAGAAAAATATCAGGAAATCCTGTTGAAAAAGAATTTCCTTTAAAAATATTAGCAGGAAAAAAAGGAAAAATTTGAAACTTACACTGTATATTGGCAGTTTTCTTACCTGATGCATGAGAAAACTGTTTAGACTTGAGGCTTTCAGGTGCACACCATGGAAAAGGAACCTTCTTCTGCTCTGTCATAACATAACAATCTTCTTGCTGGGGTAATGCTCTCATAAGGCCAAAGTCTCCTATTTTCAACTGTGATGGAAGTGAACATTATCAGTACCTCTAAAGCTTTGTGGACAAAGAGAAAAGTCACAGCATTTGAATTGTTTTAGATTCTAGTTTTTACAATAATCATGCCATATTTGTTATATCCCTTATAAAGAATAAAATATACTGGATGAAAATCAAATAATAGTTTGACACAATGAGAAAAAACAAACCAGATGATTGAATAAATGAAACTCCAGTATCAAAGGTCTGAGAAAGATCAAATCAAATGTTAGATCAGAGAGAACATAAAATTAATTTAATCCAATATAGCAAAAAAATGAGGTCCCTCCTTAACCCCTTGGTGCCGGGTCACGCCGATCGGCGTACAAACAAAATGCTCGAAAGCTGGTGTGCAGCTAAACGAGCCGGCGGCGCGCCAAAGCGCGGCGAGCCAGTGATTCGGGCTGATGTCTCCTACTCACACACTCAAAGTCGGCGCGCCGCCTTTGTTTGCTTAAGCGTAGAGTTTTTTTTTGTTTTGTACACCCGGCGCCATTGGGTTAAAGGAACAGAAAAAGGAGGATAATTTTTCATAAAGATACAAGCTCTCAGTATGTTCAATAAGTCTTACAACAAATAAAATCAAAATAGTTATCTAAATAAAACAGAACCAAATTTCAATAAAATTCCTAGCTTTGAAGTTTCAGAAACACAGGATTGTCACTTTATATTAAAGCCATTCAATGACAAAATATATTTGCATAGAAAACAATTTACCTTATCAGAAGATGCCAACAATACATTTCTTGCTGCTAGATCACGGTGAATAAATCTCTTACTCTCTAGATACTTCATACCATTGGCTATTTGTACTGAGTAATCACAAAGATCTGAAAATGATAATGACAATAACTTCCATTACATAATGGGCATAAATATAATAAATCTAATACCTCTTATCATACAAATTGGAACTTACAAGATATATAATTATTAAATAGGTTCACCCATCTCTATACAACATGAGCATTTGTATGTGTTCACACATGTACAAAAATGTATACAGCATTCAGGTAGTATGAGTGCATGGGTGCATGTGGTGTTTAGGTGGGTGTGGTGTGTGGGTGTGTGTATCTTGGTTGTTGATATACTTCAATCAATAAGACAAGTATATGCCTGTGTTCATGGGAATTATCTAGTCGTCTGATTTGAACGCAAAGTTTCCACTTTTCATATGAAGAACAATGTAAAAAGAAAAAAAATATTTGGACTAAATCTGAAAAATACATTTTGATATTTCCACAGCCTTCCAAAGCAATCAGCAATGTATATAATAATATAAGTTGCAGAGCAGTCAGGTACTTTTTCCATTTTATTTGAAGTTTCCACCATGATTTCCTTGTAATGAAATATCATAACTACATACAAAATACTTCAATGATTTACTATTGAAATTTTAATTCTTTGCCGACAGGTATGGCATGTATGTACATGCCATGCCCATTGTGAGATTACTTTTTTACTTGTTTTTACACATAGATGGCTACACTTGTAGCCATCTATGTGTAAAGGAGTCAGTCATTAGTCCTACCTATCTCAGCTGTTTACTCTTTTTTCTTGACTTTTGGAAAAGGTCTTTTGCATTATTTCATGGTCTTAAATGTTATCAAGGGAAATCAGGATCGGTCACTAGGGCTACTGATAGACTCCTTGCCAAATGAGTACATGTATGTATGTAACAATATTCACAAAAAACTACAGGGGACAGAACATAAATCCAGGGCAAATGGGTTAACCATTTGCTGCTGGGTGGCATGTGTATACATGCCATGGCATGCTTGGACTATATTACTCATATAATATAGTCCATGTGCATACGTGACATGGTGCGCTGGTCCCGTTTTCCAGGAGCACGATCCCCCATCAGCGGGGCACAGGCCACTATAAATATAGCCTGGGGGAGAGGGCTTTCGCATCAGGAAACCACCCAGCAGCATTGGGTTCATACAAATAAAAGAATAAATAAATAAAAAAAAAAAAAAAATATATATATATATATATATATATATATATATATATATATATATATATATATATATTTTTTTTAACATAAATAATAACGTAAAAAATAAAAGAGGAGGTTTTTCCTGAGCCTACTTACCTGTGATGGGAACATGTGCTGCCTGCTTGCGAAGGTGATCCAGCAAGGAGCCAAGGGGGGCAATCTCTGTCACCATCATCAGAGGATTGGAAAGGACTATCCCAAACAATCTGGATTAAGTTGTAAAAAATTAAATCATGGCAGTGTATATGTGGGAGGGGTTAGGAGGATGGAAGGTGGGACATTACAGATTACGGTAGATCCTTATTTTCAAAGAAAATTTGAAGTCGGATCCAGATAAAAAAAAATTAACCCTCAAGATGAATTTAGTCTCTAGTCATCTATACCTAATTCCTCCAAAAATAAAATCAGAACAAATAAAAAAACTTTCTAGGCTTAACCAAACATAAAAAATAAGAAGAGGTTCTGGTCCTTGCATTAACCCAATGTCAACGGGTAGCACGTGTATGTACGTGCTATGCCCACTGTGAGTTACTTGTTGTTTGTTTTTACACATAGATGGCAACACTTGTTCTAAATCACCAATGAGCCAGTTACGAGTACCGCCCGTCTCGCCCATTTACCCTTTTCTTTGATTTATGAAATATAATATTTTACGTTAGCTTATTTTTCTGTTACTAATGTTGAAAAAATTATAATAATTATAATGTTTATAATAAAAATAACACCATCGATATTCATAACACTAGTGGAAAATACGTTTTTCCTGTCATTTCAAATCTGGTGCTAGCAGAACCATCTATGGGCAGACATTTCATAAAAATATAGAAAACAGGCACAGCATTTTCCTCATTTTTTGTTCATTTTTGGGTTAAAAAAGAAACAGTTGCTGACACTTTGCTACTCAAACTCAGATGGCATTACCTTG